GCACCGGCGAGACTGGCATCGGCATCTGTGCCGCCTCACCGCGGGACTTACCTTCATCGGGTCTTCAGTTCAGGAGGCTTGCGGCAAGCGCCTTTTCGCCGACCCCCGAGTGGTAGACATGGCAGGTGTACTCTGGGTTGCACGGGCTGCGCGTGGCCCCCTCGCGGCGTGTGGCGGCGCTCCCCGTGTTTACTATTCCGGAGTTTTTGGGCGGTTTTTGCTTTCGCCCAAAATCCGCCTGTAGGAGGACACGCCCGACCTGACTCTGGAGGCATGGGCTCGTGCCCGGCCGGCACCTCGAGTGTTTCCTGCGTCCCCTGCTCCTGTACAGTAGAGGCCAGGGGTGAACCTAAACGGTATTCGGGCGATATCGTGGGCCGTGTTCGTTTCGATCTCGTCTTGCGGTAAGGGCGGGTTGAAGACAAAACGAGGGCGAACGAACACAAAACGAAAACGAACAACACTCTTCAGGTCCAACTCTTGGTAGAGACGCCGAAATCAAGGACCCCTTCGGGCTCAGGAGCGGCTCGAGGGCGGCTCTCGTGTTCGGCCCGCTCCTGCATCCCGGGGTCGGCGAACATCTTTTCGGGAGGGAAAAAAGCACACAGACACAACTAATCGCCGATCCCCCAGGAGAATATGGGAAACTATGGGCAGTAGGGGGGATGACAGACACCCAGGAAAGGTGGGAAAATATATGGGGAATCCTGTTATTTGTTTGTATTTATGTGTGTGTGTGTGTGTGTGTGTCCCAGGGCCCCTTCAATGTTCCAGGCGAAGGCTCTCCGTGGCTCCGAAAGGACCCCCCTCCGCTCCCTGCCCGGCGCCCCGCGTTCACCAGGAGCACGCCCCCACGACGCGCAGAGTGCCCACTCGCAGGCGTCCGAAGCATGGCTGTCTGCGTCGGTTGGATCTGTCGCAGATTCCCCTCGGCGGATCCGGGCCACTCTCAAACGACGCGAAGATCGGGACAAAATCGGATCGGGATAACTCGAAATCTCTGAGAATTGGCGGGTTTGGAGGATGTATTGGGCGCCGCGATCTCTCCAGAGCGTTCCGGAACGCTCTGAGAGCGCTCCGGAACGCTCTGGAGCGATTTATCCCGATCCTAGCCCTGTTTTACACTCGCAGACGTCCGAAGCATGGCGTCGCAGAATCCCCTCGGCGGATCCGGGCCACTCTCGCGACCAGGTATGGTGCAGGTATTGGAGCGCGCTTTGTCTGCTCGTGGCAGCACGATGGATGCAGGGGCTTGGTCCACTTCGCCCTGCCGCCGTGCCCGTTGCCTTTTCTCTCCTGGTGCAGGTCCCTCTGCCCCTCCCTTTGCCTCTGGTCTCTCCTCCTCATCCTCCTGCTCCTGCTCCTGCTCCTGCTCCTCCCTCCTCCCTCCTCTACCAGGTCCTGCTCCTCCACAGCGCGCTTCGATCATTCCAGGCTGCGGACCGCCTTGAACAGCCTCGTGCGTAGCTAGAGCAGATACATCTGATTACTTTCAGACGATGTGATCTGCTCCTTATCCTGCTCCTGGTTCTCGTGCTCCTAGCCTTTCCCTTCAAAAGGGGGGTCAGGAACATAACAACACGAAGAATGGTGAGTGAATGCTGGGAGAAGGGGCGGGGGATGAGGCTGGGAAATAATCGGGAAGCGTGGGGGGAAACAAGGGCGCCCTCGAGGGCGCGAAGTTATTCGCGCTTCGCAGTTCGGCTCCGATTCCTCCTCATCCTCCGCTTCTCCCTAGCCGCCGTCTCCTGCTCTAGCCCCTTTCTTCGCGGCCCAGCAGGCACCCCACGCAGAGCAGCTTCCGCCCCCAGGGCACCCTTCATGTCATGCCAGCGAGGCTGGCCATCCATATTTTCTTCGCTCGCGATCTTCTGGACGATATTCCTGAGCGGGGGTGTGTCTACCCCGCTCAGCACGGTCGCGCCACCGAGAAGCTTGCAGACGACGAGACAGTGCAGCGCAGACGACTTCATCATGTTACCAGCCGCTCGTGAGAGGCAGCTCGCCCCCACCAGCCCCGACGACCAGCACCAGACCTACCTGTACCGCTTCGTCCAGAGGAGCTACGGCAGCGGCCCTACCACCAACTATCAAGCAGGCGTGGCCAGCGCGATCTGCAACCTCTACCGCATCAACTGTGTGACCGCGCTCCCCAGCCCGCCACCGCGCATTCAAGGACGTGCAGGAGCAGTTCGCCTTCGCAGAGGAGGACTCGACACGAAGTTCACTGTTGCGTATCCATCTCTACGGTCAGGGCTCGCCAAGCACCACTACGCTCGGGTCAAGAGGACCAACCAGACCCAGAACGAGAAGCCCACCTGGAGCATGCCGAGCATCGGCCCAGACCAGAACGACACCTACGGCCAGGACGGATTGCCTCCCGCGAAGCTTAGCAACGTGATCGGCGACCCAGGCGCTACTGCAGTACCAGGAGCGGCATCCGCTGCCTCCCACGACACGCCCGACGCGCACGGCAGGTGCATCCTGAACAATGCCTGGAACGAGGGGCCCACGTACATCTGTGCCCACGGGCAGGCCACACGTCCCGACTACATTGCAGTGCCTCAAGGTCCATGCTCCCACAATACGTCTTACAGAGTCTGGTGCCGAACGACTAAGGCACCCCAACTCATCACTTACCACGTGCCGCGCGACCTTGTCATACCTTCGGCCGCCAACATCTTCATCCCGAGCGCGTTCATCGTCCTAACGCGGGCCGCCTGGGACCACGACAAGATGGCCCTGGCTCTGCAGAAGGGCAAGTACCGCAAGGAGTTCACAGATGTGCTGGGGTTCTACTTCGGCAAGCACCAGGACAAGCTGAAGAAGTTGGACGGGGACAACACAGCGGACGAGCTCGAGGGGCTCCTCGTGAACATCATGAAGGAGGCGGCCAAGCCCGTCTTCGAGCGCCAGACAACCAAGCTCGACCTATACTACCAGCTCACGGACGAACGTCTGCGGCTACCCCAGGCGCGCACCAAACTCAGAGAGGAGTACATCGGGACCAACCCCAACTACGAGATCGACTACCACATCGAGGTCATTTCCCGCGCCCTCAAGAAGCAGAAGCGCCAGCGCGAAGCACGACGACAACACCTCGAGGAGCGCATCTACGAGGCTTGGCAACCACGCGAACACGCTGCAGTTCTGCCACTGTCTCGAAGCATGGCCAGCCCCAAATACGGCAAGCGCAACCGCAACAACAACCGCGCGACCAGAGCACGCCACAGTGTGCAGGAGAGGGTAGTTCACTTTGCAGCAGACGGCCAGCACGGAGGGTTTAGTGCTCGCCAGCTCGACCTCGAGGAGGAAAAGCGCATCCCGAAAGAGACCTCGCACGAGTTCACCAAAGAACACAACCTGCAAGTTCGCCAGGAACCTGAGGACGCCAAGGGCGGCACCCAGCGAGCTATCTACGGCGTCACCAAGCGGCCCAAGTACATCAAGAAGTGCGCCCCCGTGCCAGACCGGATATTGCCCGCCGAGATCCTCCAGATAACCTTCCAGCCCACCTACTTCACCAAGCAGAGGCCGAAGCTGACAGACGCGGGCTACGATGACGAGCTCGCTGAGGCACCCCTCGCGCAGGAGAGCTTCGAGCCAGTCCTCAACCGCGCGTACCGCGTCGGCTTCAAGTCCAAGCCGTGGCCACTTCCACCTCCCCATGCTCGCGGCTGCTGGCCTCATCGACGACAAGTATTCCCCGCGCGACGCCAACTACGAGGCGGAGAAGCCTACCAGCCCACGGGCGACTTCACGCTGAAGAAGTCGCTCACGGTGATGATCATGCCAGTGCTGGCCAACGCTCAGCAGATCGCCTTGGTCGCCGTCTACAGCACGTACCCGATGACGGCTCAGTCCGAGGTGATCAAGGCGCTCCATGCCCGCAGAAAGTTCTACGCGGACAAGCACATGGAGGAGGGCGAGGGACACTCGTTCGCTCCGTCCCTCTGCCCCGAGGACATGGGCGCCAATACTAAGAGCAGCCTCGCCGAGCTCGGGAAGTCAGTGGGCCAGTTCAGTGCGGCGTCTGACCTCTACAAAGTGAAGCACCTGAAGATCAGCAAGTGCGATGACAGCTACCACCCGGAGATCATGCTGTATCCCTGGGAGGCGGCGCGAGAGCGCGAAGTTATTCGCACTTCGCGCTTCACGCAGCGCGAAGCGCGAAGTTGGGAGCCCTTGAGGAAAGCCAAGCAGATGCGGTGGACGAGCCGGGGCGGAGCCGAGCGGGGGAGGGGATCACAGGCGGAGTGGGAGCTGCGTCTGTGACCTCTGCTCCGGCTCCTGCCTCATCCCGTTCTTCTCCCGCTTCTCTGGGGCGGCACTGAGGGGGGTGATGACTAGGAAGGGGGTGGATATCATGGTGGGGGCCATGATATACCCCCAGGTTCCATGGCGCCTCTTCATATTTCATTGCGTCCCTGGCCCCCCCGCTGGGCCGCGCACGTGCCGCTGGTCATGATTTGCACCCCCTCCTCTTGGACACCCCCCTCTTGGCCGCTCCCGAGCTGCTCCTCTGCTCCTCGGGGCTCCTCTCCCCTCCTTCAGGCTGCTGCTGCCCCTTTCCCCCTTCCCCGAAGAGACGCCTTCGACCTCACCTGAGCGGCGGAAGAAAGCAGTGTCCCTTGCGCGGGCGTTCGAGCGTAAGTTTCCCGCGTAAGGCCTCGCGGGCGTGCCCTCTCCTCCACGCGGTGTGCCACGCTGCTGGCCTGTGTAGGCCGCGGCGTGATATCTCGCTATGTCATCGTGCGCGAGAGGCGTCTTCAGGCGATCGCAAACATGGATCAAGGGGGCGTGGGTCAGCGACGGGTCCCAATCCATGGGGAATCAGGGGTTTCCGCCGCCGAACGAGGAGGCACCGGCCGCACTTTGGGGTGGGCCCCTCCCCCGATCCGTGGTCGCTAATCCATGTTTGCGCGCCCCCGAGTTTTAGCGGGGATCTCGGGTTCGAGTCCAGCAGTCGGCAGTGCTGCGGCGGCGACGCCGCCAGAGAGGCGGAGGGCGCGAGATTCGCGGACGAGGTCGCCGCGGAGGCCAGCAGCGCCGGCTCGTGTGAGGGAGGGAAGAATGGAGGAGGAGTCTGAGTATTGAGCTTAGGATGCAACTCCTGGGAGTTTTGATTCAGTATCGGCGCTAGTAGATCCTCTGTCGAAAACCGGCCGAAGCCTGCTTAAACCAAGCTGATCCTTTACAATCCTGCCTCATCGGGCTCAATCCTGGACCCAGTCCAGGCTAAGCCAGCTCAGTAGCCCCTCAGTCGGGCGTCACATCTGGTAATCTTTCTGACCGAAGCCTCCCAGGAGTCTTCTTCGTAGGGGTGTAATGATGGGACTGTTTTCCACCACCACCATAAGTTGGAGAGGAGGGGGTCCTCCTCCTCCTCCACCACCTCCTCATCCTCCTCCTTCTCCTCTTCCTCCTCCTCCTCCTCGTCCTCCACCTCCTTTTTCCCCCCTGAAACTCATGGTGGTGGTGGTAGAAACGGGCCCATCATGCAGCGTGGAGGAGGCTCCGTGGCCACTTTGGCTCAAGGCCATGCTGACCCCCGGCGCCCGTGCCCGCACGTGCGCCGCGGCCGGAGGTGGAGGCGGGGCGGGGCTGGCCTGTGTTCCCCGCGCCGCGGGGGGGCTACCTCGCGCGGGCCTTCGTGCAGCGGGGGCCACGCCCGTGCGCGGCTTGTTTTGAGGCAGGAGGGAAAAGAACACACAGACACAATTCATCGTCGATTCCCCAGAACATATGGGAAAATATGGGAGGTGGGGGGGGGAGACAAACACCAAGGAAATATACGAAAAGACGGGGAATCCTGTTATATGTGTATTTATTTGTGTGTCCCAGGGCCCCATTCATTGAGATCCTCCGCATTCCAGTGGGGGGGGGGTACTTCACGATCTGCGTGCAGTACTTCGTGCCCAGCGTGTTATTCATCATGGCCTGCGTGGTGCGCACTTTGCGCGATCGACTTGGCATATTTCACGGTCGATGTACCATCCCGCACGATCAACATGTTAGATATCACGATTTGCGTGCTTTACCTCACGATCAGTTTTGCGAGGTTTACCCATTACGTGGGATAACCAGTGAGCATGACCAGTGAGCATGAGGTTTCTCAATATGCACAATTTGTATCCGTGCGTTGTGGACACGATACGGACCGCACCGCAGCTATTCATCAAGGACGCCGTCTCCGTCGCCACGCTTGCCATTGTCAGGGCGACCAGACTGTCCTGACCGTGGACCCACCTACTGCCGATCAGCAGGAGAAGGATCAACGCCCACAAAGCACCACGACCCGTACGGCTACCAGTGCCCGTATCACGACTACAACCTATACGTGCACGACGATTTGGATTCAGACATCGCTAGCCCGCCCCTGTTGCCACAGAGCAGAACTCTTACCCATGACTGAGTAGTGTCCGCCGTGCCGGCATGTAAATGAGGAGGGTGGCAGAAAGGCAGAGGAGGCCACTGAGGAAGAGGTGAGGGAGACAGCAGCGACAGAGGAGGCCAGGAACGATGGACACATCAGCGATGGCCCAGCGAGCGCGCGAGGCCCTCCTCGCCAGGCCCCATACCATAGCAAGCCGTCCCTGCGCCCTGAGGTGCCGACCGCCCCGATCGGCGACCCGTGTCCCGAGATCTGCCCTCACGGCTTGCACCATGGACCGCGCGATCCGCGTAGCTACCGAGCTTCATGATTTGCGCACCGCACCTCGCCACCCGCTTGCCGAACCTCAGACACACGGGTGCCACGCCTCGCGCGCTGTGTTCAGCGATCTGCGCGCCGAAACAAACGCCCCCGGTGCAGAACTTGTCAGGCTACCTACAAGACTCCGTCGCCTGCATGAGCGAACGAAAGCAGAGGAGACTCGGAAGACCGACGAGCTTAATCAGGGCGAGGCAGAAGCACATGGCCAGGACTGCAGAGGTGATCAGGGAGGTGGGGGAGGGAAGAAAGGAGGATCTGCGGCGAGCGCGGGGGGGAACTGAGAAGGAGAAGGCCTTCTCAGAAGGTTCCGAAGTCCCCGGGCCCTCTGAGAAGTGTTTCAATCTTCTCCGAGGGCACAGAGAACTTCTCAGAAGGCGCTAGGGCTTCTGAGAAGTCCGCCGCCTTCTCCTTCTCACTCCCCCACCTCGCTCGACGCCGAGTAGAGGCGGCAGGAAAGGACGAGGAGGAGGTCAGGAAAGGGGATCGCGTCCTGGAGGAGGAGGCTCGGCAGACAGAGGCGGCCAGGATGAGGTCCGTAGACGGGGGCACGCCTTCGCAGTCGTGGCGTCCTTCCACGAGGCTGCCACACACGTCTTACATCCATCGGCGTCGAGCGAGGGGGGGGAAGTGAGAAGGAGAAGGCCTTCTCAGAAGGCGGCGGGACTTCTCAGAAGCCCGCAGGCCTTCTGAGAAGTTTTCTCTTTTTGACAACTTTTCAGAATGCCGGGGAACCTCGGAACCTTCTGAGAAGGCCTTCTCATTCTCGCTTCCCCCCCTCGCTTGCCGCCAAGTCCATCAGTCGGCACTGCAGAACGGCGGCGCTGCCGGCTGCTTTGCACGCGCCGGGAATCGGATCGCCCAGGGCGTTGCAGGAGTGGGCCGACACGCAGCGGCCGACGGCACCCGCGCTGACCGCCTCCACGGGCGAGACGCAGTGACGAGCCAAGGCCGATCCCGGAAGGACGGCCTGCCAAAATCAGGAGGGGAAAAAACACACAGACACAATTAATTGTCGACCCCCTGGAACATATGGGAAAATATGGGACGTGAGGGGGGAGATGAAAACCCAGAATATATGAGAAAATATGGGAAATCCTTTTATTTGTGGGTATTTATTTGTGTGTCCCAGGGCCCCTTCACACAAGCCCTCCAATATACGGCAGGACCCGAAGGCACCCCGAAGGGCGAGGGAAGGAGACAGAGGCGCACAGTGGAGAAATTGGAAGGGGGGTTCGATGCCAGTACCATCGGCCACCGCCACACGCTCGGCACGATGCGAGGCCTCCCCTCCCCCCGCCCTGGCCTGCAGGCCACTGTCGGTACCTCCGCTTTCCCAAGGCACGGGTACGTGCTCGCGATCCCCGTGATTCGGGCCGGGCGAAAGGGGGGGATTGGGAAAGGGGGGGTGTGAAATCTGCCGCATGCAGCCGGTTTTTGGCTTCGCCGAGGGGCCCATTCCTCGATGCATAGCCGCCTCCGGCGCCGGGAGGCGCCGGGAAAATCAGCTACGTGAGCTGATTCTCAAACCCTCCCTTTACTATCCCCCCCGTTCGCCCGACCCGAGTGATGCACCCTGGCGATGCACGCGCACAACCTCGCGGTCCACGTGTTGGTCCCAACGAGTTGCGTCCTCGGCTTCCACCTCGCGGTCTGGTAGTACAGTCCGGCCGAGATCAGCGGCGCGTTCGACAGCATGTCGGGAAGCTGGTGCATGTGCTATTTGACCGCCGTTCTGGCGTGTTCGGGCGTCTGGGTTTCGCGGACACCCCGGGCCTTGAAAGGGGCGCGGTGGAGGAGGCACAGGAAGTAAACGAGGACGGCGATGGGGGACGAGCAGCGACGCGGATGAGCCTCGGGCGATCGAGCTCGGCACCGCGCTCGCCCTCCCCGCGGATGGGGGGGGGAGCGAACTCACCCAGCAGGGTTCGACGCGCAGGAGGGCGTTGAGGAGGAGGGAGAGGAGAACGATCGTCAACGAGGCGGACGAGACGGCCGCCGAGGAGAGTGCGACGGACGAGCAGGGGCGCGCGGAGGCCGAGTAGTGGAACCTCACCATCGATGGGCTGAGCCTCCTGATCCGCAAGCATCACCTCGCGTTGGTTGTCGCGCTACACCTTCAGGCTCGTTTATTAATGAGACCGCAAAGGCCTGCGACTATACAGTAGCCGCCTACCATGACAAGCGGGAGAGAGAGCGCTAGCCGAGGATACGCGCCCTCTACGCCATCAGCCAGGCGGGCCACACATCGCTTGAAAGGCGGTGGCAGCGCGAGGTCATGTCGCACCGCTGGACGACCCGTTCAGCCACGGACGTCCTCACAGGCGCTGCTTCACGTTTTCCGTGCGGCACTATTCTGTTCCACGGTGTCCCCGTGATATATGCACCACATTCTACGTTCTACGTTCGGAACCTCAGCATCCAAGTTCTATACTTTTCGATTTGCGTGCTAATTATCATGACGGCGGCACGGCTGGCAAGCGTGACACCACGCCCATACACAGTACGATTCGCGTTTTCGGAAACTCCTCCCAAGTCTAGACCCTCGCGTCCCCCGCGTTGAGCCCCACGAGCGTCGTTACGTACCACATGATTTACGAGCTGATGGCCCGTGCGGACCGACCGGTTTATCCCATGTCTTCTTCCAGTTTACAATTTTCCGTCGTAGGTTTCTGAGAGAGCAGATGGTCCTCCCTCCTATGGTGTAGGGGCGGGCGGGCAGGAGGTTGTTGAGCAGGAGGAGGAGGAGGAGGAGGAGGAGGACATCCTTGAGGATGGAGTCGGAGCTTGCCTTCTGTATTTTGGATGGGGTGATGTGCGTTGCCCCCCCCCCCCCGTAGCGCTAATGATCGCACGGGGGGTTGCCCCCCCCTCGTGCCCGGAACCACGTGGTGGCGCCCGAAAGTGCTGCGGTGGCTACGCGCCTTGCACGCTGTGGTGCTCGCGCGCGCGCTATCATGCAGCTCGCAGGCATAGCGTGGCGTGCGCAGGTGCGAAGCGGTGCTCACAGGCATGCGGCGGCGGCGGTGCCCTCTGGACTCTCGCTGACCTTCGTTGCGCTCTGGTTCCTGCAGGCAGGCCGATGGTGCTCGCAGGCCTGGTGAGGAGATATCAGAAACATGCTGCGTTGAACGATGCGGCAGTTCTACTGATACCGCAGCCGCCACCAAACCCGCCGCCACACTCGTGACCTTGTGACCTTCAGCCACTCCCCTCGCCCCCCCCGCCCGCCCCCCGCCACAGGTCAACAGACGTGACGTTGCCCCTGGGGAATAATCACATGGTCTCGCGGGGAAGGTGCAAGCGAGGCGATCGAGGACGAGTGAGCGATCAGTGCAACACGTCGACTGCACAGCCGAGCTACGAGCAGCTAGCCCAGCTCGTGCGCGCGTGACTTCGTGCCTGCCCGCACCGAGGCCCGTAGCATGTGCTGGAGGCGCGCTGCTCCATCCCCTGGGTGTGCGGGCAGCACGTCCAGCCTTGTCCTGCAGGGGAGACCCATGCCAAGAAGCACCTCGCGTGCCTCCAGGGTGCCCTGCGTTTCTTGGGTTTCGCTGGTTTTGCCGTGGAAGCCGTGACGCGCCCACACCAAACATTGATGGACGTCCTGTGGCCTCAGGGCTGTGTGTTGTGGTGGAAAGGTTCGTGTGGTCGGGCTCCTGCTGTACAGCGGGCAGTCCAGGCGCAGGGAGCACGAGCGGCTTGCGCCAGCTGGACCTCGTGGTAGCCCCGTCGGGGGGCCAGGCAAAGTCGGGTGACGGGGCCCTCTCTCCTCGCCCTCCGCGGCGACCGCTGCCTCCCCTCGGCAAGCCCGGAGTCTCCAACCCGCGCCCCTCCGCGCTGCCAGGGCGCTTGATCCCGAGGCGCCCGCGAGTTCTTCCACACTTCTTTGCCACCTCCCCATAGGGCTGGACCTAAACGCCGTGTTGCTGGGCTTCGGCTGTGTTTTGTTTTCGTTTTGGCAGGGAGGTGCAGGAAAACAGGTAAGGCAAAACGAACAACAACATGCAACCGAAACGAAAAACAACGTTTAGGTCCAGCCCTGCCTCCTCAGTCCTGCTTTTTCCTCCCTCCCTCCCTTTCTCAGCTCCCTCTCTCCTCTCCTCCTTTCTGAGAGCGTCTCGCCCCTCCCCTCTCTCTCTCTCTTCCCCGCGCTTCCGAGGAGGAGGACGAGGAGGACAAGGAGGAGGAGGATGCAGTGATAAGGAGCAGGAGGAGGAGGAGGAGGAGGAGAACGCGCGCCCTCCCCTCTCTGTCTCTCTCTCTCTCTCTCTTTTTCTCTGTTCTCTCTTCCCCCCGCTTCCGAGGAGGAGGACGAGGAGGAGGAGGAGGCAGTGAGAAGGAGGAGGAGAAGGAGGAGGAGGAGGAGGAGGAGGGAGAGGAGGAGTGGGAGGAGGAGGGGGAGGAGGAGGAGGAGGAGGGGGAGGAGGAGGGGAGGAGGAGGGGGAGGGAGGAGGAGGAGGAGGAGGAGGAGGAGGAGGAGGAGGAGGAGGAGGAGGAGGAGGAGGAGCGAGGAGGGAGGTGCGGGCCCCCGCCGCCGCTCCAGGCGCGGGTGCGGCAGGCGGCCGTCCAGGCCATCTCGGAGAGGCTCTCCGGGGCCGCGGCCCAGGCCCCGCCCGCCAGCCCCGACGGGGGAGGACTCCTCCGCCTCCTCCTCTGCCTCCTCCTCCTCCTCCTCCTCCTCCTGCTCCTCCCCGTCCTCCCTCCTGCTCCACTCCTCCTCTCTTCCTCCTCCTCCTCCTCCTTCTCCGCCTCCTCCTCCTCCTCCTCCTCCTCCTCCTCCTCCTCCCCCTCCTACTCTCCTACTCCTGCTCCTCCTCTTTCTCCTCTCCTCCTGCTTCTCCTCCTCCTCCTCCTGCTCCTCCTCCTCCTCCCCCTCCTCCTCCTCCTCCTCCTTCTCCTCCTTCTCCTCCTCCCCCTCCTTCTCTCATCCTCCTCGTCCTGAGGGGGTGGATCATGCGGCTCCAAACGGGGCCCCCGGGAGAATCAGGGGAGCGAAAAGCTGACATAAACATAACAACTCGGAGGTTCGCGCGGACTTCTCGGATCGGCGCGGGGGCCCCCTGGCGGCGCCTCCGGCGCCGCCCCTGGCGCGCTCCGCGCGCCAGGGAGGGGGGGGGGTCCAGCGCCGATCCGAGAAACCCGCGTGGACCTTTGTTATGCCACTTTTTGTTCCCCTACATGTGGCCCCAATCGGGGCCTCCCGGGAGAATGGACTCCAGGGCTGGACCTAAACGGAAGAGCAGGAGGGCCTGCCCCCGGTCTCGCTTTCACTCCGTCGCGGGCCGTCGGTAGGGCACCTCTGCCGGCGCCTCGCTCGGCGGGTTTGGTGATTCCGTGGGCCGTTTTTTCGTTTCGACCTCGTCGTGCGGTAAAGGCGGATTCGAGACAACAGCGAGGGAACACGAACACAAGACGAAAACGAAACACACCGTTCAGGTTCGGCTTGGCCCGCAAGGTCGTCGCCCGGCGCTCTCACTCGCACTTCGAAGGCTCAGGTGCAAGGCCGCGGTCTCAGAAGCCCCTTTCGCTGGCGTCCCTCTAGAAAGCGCATCAGTGGAGGGGGGGGTCTTTCTCATCCTCCCCAATTCCTCGTCTCGAAGAAGAGCAGAGCGCCAAACGTTTAGGGGGTCCAGCGAGGATCCAAGAAACCCGCGCGGAGCGCCAACAGTTTATGTTTATGCAGGTTTCCTCCTATCTTCCCCCCGCGCGCGGGGAAGGATGGCGGGGGAGGAGAAGCGTGAGGGGAGAAGGGGGCGGAGTCTGGAGAGCGCGGGTCGACGAGGGGCGGGGGGGGCGACGAGCGTGTCGGGGACGACATCGAGAAGATTCGTCCAGAAAGACAGGGGTGTTGCGCTCTCGTCGTCACTCTGCCCGCGCCTTTCACACCACGGGCGCGAGTTTGCTCTTGATTATTGGTTTCGACTGCTGGTGCTTGCAAGCTCCTTGTTGGTTTCGCCCGCTTCGGCACTGTTTACCGCCTGTCCCTCGCAATCTTCGACCTTGTGGTGTGACCAGGGGGTTGTGATCCGACGACGGCATCTATACACCACCACCGTGCCAGGCCAGGGCCATCCTGGGCCTCAGGACGGTGCATAGACGCTCCTGGCCTTGGCCAGGAGGGCGTATACACCATGCCAGGCCAGGGCCAAGCTGGCCCTAGCCTGGCACGGTGGTGGTTTACATATGCCTTCTGCATACAGTGCCGTTTTTTATATATGCTCCGCGTGCGGATCATGTGTTAACAGTGCAGGAATTTAGTATAAAAAAACAACGATGGGTTCATGCATAAAATCATTCATAATTTAATCATGTCTTGGAAATCCGATATGTTTAACCATCCGATGCATTAAAAAAACAACTGCCCTGTATGTGAACCGTCTTGATGCGGGTCGAGCCCTCGCCAGACACGCTCGATGCTTTTGGAGGCTCTTCCTTCTGGGGGGGCACGGGCAGCCCTTTCAGCATATGCAGTGTGCGCGAATGCTGGGGCTGGGAGACACGGGCGGCCATCTCCATGCGCCTCATCTGGACGTCGTGCCGATTGCCGCGAGGTCGCCAGGCTGGAGAACGACTGCATGTCCCTGAGACAGGAGCCCTGGCGGGAGACGCCTCGGCGGTGCATGACGACAGCGACGAGGCTCGCACAACCATTTCACGTGGATCGGGGATGGACAGACCCCCCCACCCTGACACGTCGATTAAGGAATTGGCCGTTTTCGGTGCGCGAGAGGGCGTCGCGGCCCTCATTTTTGCGGTTCCAGGTCCGTCGGTTTCGGTCCCAGGCCGTTTTCACAAAGGGGAGGCTGACTAAAGGGAGGTTTGTCCACCGCCGACGCAGGTCGGGGGGTACATCCGAAGTGGGACGAACAGCCCCCCACTGGGAGATCGGTGTCGGGTCCGGGTTCGGGTTCGGGTTTGTGCGTGCGGGCGAGGCGAAGCGGCGTAGGCGGGCGTGAGGAGCGACTCCGCTTCGGCTAGGGCGGATCTATTGCCGTTTGCCGCCCCTGTTCCTTCCTCGCGGTGGGCGGGCGGTGGCCGGGTTGTCCCGCCGTGGTGTCCTGTCGATGTCCCGTCGGTGTCCAGTCTTTGTCCCGTCGCTGTCCCGTCGCTGTCCCGTCGTGGTCCCGTTGGTGTCCCGTCGGTGTCTCGTCGGGTCCGTCGGTGTCCTGTCGGTGCCCTGTCTGTGTCCTGTCAGTGTCGCGTCGGTGTCCCGTCGGTGTCGCGTCGGTGACCCGTCGGTGTCGCGTCGGTGTCCCGTCGGTGTCTGGTCGGTGTCACGTCGGTGTCCCGTCGGTGTCCCGTCGTTGTTGCGTCGGTGTCCCAAAGATCAATATTGGGACCGATATGAGTCAATAGCGAGATCGATAGTGAGATCGATATTGAGATCGATCGTGAACTCCATGATGCTCAATATTTGGACCGATGGTGAGATCGGTCGTAATATCGATAGTGAGATCCATCGTGAAGTCGATAGTGAGTTCGGTCGTACGATCGATGGCGAGGGGTGTAGCGAGATCGATTGTGATATCGATAACGAGATCCATTGTGAGATCGATGTTGATATCGACCGAGTAGGATCGGCTTTTTGATCGATTGTGAGACCGACAGCGAGAGCGATGATGCGATCGAGAGTGAGATCGATGGGGAGATCGACAGTGATATCAATCGAGTAATATCGATAGTGCGATCGATTGTGGTATCGAACGTGAGACCGATAGTGATATCGATTGCGAGATCGATATTGAGATCGACAGCGGGATCGATAGTGAGATCGTGAGATCGATAGCGAGATCGATAGTGAGCTCGTGAGATCGATAGCGATATCGATAGTGAGAACAACAGTGGGATCGATCGATAGTGAGATTGATAGTAAGATCCACCGTGAAGTCCCATCGTGAAATCGGTCGTAAGATCGATAGTGAGAGGGGTGGTGAGATCGGCTGTGAGATCGATAGTTGGATCGATAGTCAGATCGATAATGAGATCGATAGTGAGATGGATAGTCCGATCGATTGAGTGGGATGTTGGCTCTTCCCCTGAGGTTGTTCAGATAGGTATGTGAACGGGCGCGAAACCGGCTTTCCCGATGTTCCTTTGCTCCGCATTCCACCATTGATTCGGGTTTGCCGCAATTTTAGATTTCCCGTTTGGGGTACCCATTCCGGTTTTGCATTTAGTGCCTTCGCTTGCCGTTGGCGGCACTCTGAATGCAGGTGGGTGTCTCCTGGATGTCGTATCTGTTGGTAAGCCTGCCGAACAGATTGCCGATATCTTTGGATTAGAGGTTCTGTCGACCCTCCTCCGCCTTTTTTCGGCGAGGAGGACAGGATGGAAGATGGAGGAGAAGGAGGAGGAGGAGGAGGGAGAAGAGAGATAGAGGAGCCACTGCCATCTCTCCTTTTTTCTCCCCGTCTTTGTTCTCCCTCCCTCGTTTCTTCCCCCTTTCGCCTGGGATGAAGGGAGGAGGAGGAGGAGGACGAGGATGGAAAGGAGGGTGGCAGGGTTGGAGGAAGGATAGTAGGCGCAGGACATGGGAGGGGATTGTGGAGAGCGAAGGGGAAGGGAAACGAGAGCGGGTCGTCAAGGAAGACCATGGAGCGAGCTGATTTTTGCCGGCCAATCAATCCTGGGGGCTGCATCATCAGGACAGGAGTACGGGGTTCGGGGGGCATCCGAACTGTGTGAAGCTCGTGCCGTTGGACTGTCGCGCATGCAACTGTGGTATGACACACTTAGGGCCACCGAGGCAGACCCACAAGGCAGGTAGCCCAGTGCTTGGGCACATCGGAAGGGGGAACTCACCACGTCTTGGCTCGGCGGATGGGGGGGGGCTTGGCGCGTCTGCAACTGCGTGACTCCTGTCATTTGAGTATCTTAACCTTTGTCGTATCAGAGAGCTGCCCTCTCCGGCCAGCCACTCCACAGGACTGTACTGGCGGACCCTGTGTTCGGGAGGGAACTTCGACCTCAGCTGAACTCGCGCGGTTTTAGGTTTGGGCTGCCTCGCCTGCAACCTCGGTATGACCGCCTTGGAGCCGTCTGGCTTAGGCAGGCCAGAGGTAACCTCAACTCACGTGCAGGTAGGGACAAGGTTTGGCTGCCGTGGAAGCTTGATGCCAGGGTGCTTGGGTTGCTTGGGAGACTGAGCCCGACAGGGAGGGGGGATGGGCATCCCACATCGGGGAACGCTGCGGCGCGAACAGCGCGCTAATAACCTCCACGCTATCAACAAATCCTTGGTGCAAGGTTTGAATGCGAACTCTTGTCGATAGACGGGAGGGGCATCCCAGATTTGAGCCAGGTTGTGGCGTCCGATCCCATTGCCGGAGCGGCGGCAGCCAGCAGCTCCCCCGGGAGAAGGATTGGAATTTGTTCTGCATGGACGACCCACGATTTGATTCGTCCGCGATCTCGCGGCTTCAACTGTGTTAGCCGGCGGCTTGTCTCAGCCGACAGGGGCGTCGGGGATCGGGTTAGAGTCAAGCGCGGTTGGATTCGCCCTTGGCCTGCCACATCATGTTCTTCTAGTTTCTTTGCGAAGGAGCGGGTGCTCGCTCGATTATGTTTTCCACATTGTTGTACTGAAGACCCCCTGGAAACAGCGTTGCAGGGTTCGGGAGAGTTCTCGTCGGGGTCAAACGGCTCCGCTGCAGCCGCCCCCAGAATACATAACCGGAGCCTCGTGCACAATCGGCACGTGTGAAAGTCGGGTGAGAGGTAGTAGTGGGGGGTGACCCAAATGCGAGGTGAAGAACGGGTTTTTCAAAGGAGCCAGTTGGTCCCCCTTTTAGAGCCAGCTGGGGCTCAAAAAGGACCCTGCAGGGCGCCTTTAGAGCCCAACCATTCAGGTACACCCCCCTATTCTGGTAACCCTCCTGAAGGGCCCCTTTAGGGGGCCTCTTTACCCCCGCGTTCAGGTGACCACCCTTATCACCCACCAGAGAAAGATGGAAGAGGAGGGATGGCAGAGAAGAAGTAGAGAGAGAGGAGGAGGGAGGATAAGGATGGTGAGAAGCAGCACCGGCAGGGAGCGGGGGAGACGAGGGGAGGATGGGTCGGAGGGGAGAAGATTACCAGTTTCAAACATATCCATACCCCTATGTGTGACTTCACATTACCTCGGTTTCGATCTTAAGGACTCCCTCAGTTTCTGAGGGCGCATCCCTAAGATTGTCATTGCCTTTATCTTGGCAGTCCTAGGGTATTGATGAATTATGACCTTTTGGATAGCTTATGCAATCTTTGGCTGGTTAGAAGAGAGGCTGAACAAGAGAAGGCTGGAGGGCGAGGAGGAAGCAGGGGCGAGGGAGAAGGGAGGGCAACGGAGGAAACGAAAAGGGATGGCGACGGGGAGGGACGGAGGGACATCGGTGGGCAGAAGAGGAAGGAGGGGTGAGGGCGGAGGGAGGGAGGGAGGGGCAGGAGGGAGGAAGGGCAGTGCAGAGGCGCAGGAGGATTAAGGAGAGGGACGAGGAGGAGGAAGATCCAGGCCACCCACAGGTGCACGAACTCAGCCGCTCTTCGCGCACTGCGGGCTGGAGGTTCGTATTGTTTAATGCTGATCGGTGCGAGAGCGCAAGTTCACGCGAGTTGCGGACACCACTCAGCGCGAAACGCTGAATGCGTGACCTCGAGGCGAAATGGTGGATGATGCTGATGGGAGGAGGAGGAGGGCATTAGGGCATTAGGGCCTTAGACGAAAGTCTCTCGCATCCAGCGACCCAATTACTTAATAATCGGGCTCTTCGGGCTCTTCGCTCCTGCCAGCCTGGAGCCGAGCCTCTTCTTCGAGACGCCTCTCAGCTCGGCAAAACACAGCCGCCTCGTGGGGGTCGCTGAAGCCGTGCAACTGCGCAACTCGATACATATCAAGGGCCTCGGGGAGAACCAACCCGTACTCTGGGGCAGGGTCGCAACTCCGCTCCGAGGCCTCTTGAGGGACCGCCAGTCTCCCTTCCCACAACGCTCGGACCTCCACAGAAGGCTCAGCACAGTCGCCGAACATCGGGGGAGGGGACACCGTTGAATTAGGGTGCAGGCCTCTACGGAGCCTAGACCTTTGGGTCGCCAGACCAGGGTGCTTGGGCCCAAAACCTGGCCCCGCAAGGCCCTTGCCAGGCCTGTGGCTGTGTTGCACACTCGCGCCGCACGAGATGCAGAACAAAACTGGGGCCCCTGAAACATCTCCGACTACAGGGGCCTGCGCGACATTGTGCCTCGAAAACTTCCAAGTCTGGCAACTCACCCGCTCCATCCCCGAGATGTGGGGCACCAGGTCGGGAGGAGCAGCCGAGGAGCCAATGGAGGAGCCGAGAGCAGCGGAACCAGAGCCAACCGAGCCCTGACTGCTATCAGGATAGAGACGAGCGGGCACGGCCTCGAGGATCCGCTCCCGCGACCGCAGCTCCAGCTGCGCGTCATACTCGTAGGCGGTATCAGGCGGGACATCCTGACCTGACAGATCAAGCACCACCTCCGAGGTCCCACCCACCCCCTCCGAGTCCACGAACCCTCTAACATGGAACCAGCTGTGCAATCTGCCGAGCCACTCCGCGGCCTGACAGACTCTGCGCTCGCAGGCCTCAACCAA